CCTCCTGCCCCTCTGTCGGTAAGAAGGAACTGAGAGGGCATAGGGCCGGCAGCGCCTGATATACCGACTCATGAGCGCGGGACTCCAGGGGGCGTTACAGCCGACCCTACGGATACCGCTAAGGCAAAAATCTCTGACGACTGTGCACGTGGGCGCGCACACTCCTAGAATGGTATGAACATGAGCAACACATCTCAAAGAACAGGTAGGTAACTGTTTATTCATTGGTTCCACTTTATCCTGAGGCACTAATTTACATATTAGTTTTGTATCATCAGATATCTGTTTTCTTTGTGTTGAAACAGAAAGATTACTTTGGACAGCAGAGAGTGCTTTAATCATTCTTAATAGTCTCTGCTGCAATAGTTTTTTGTAAAGTTTTACTAAACCGGTTTCATTGGATTCCATTTCCTCTGTCTTGCTTCTAATCTCCCCTGTGAAACATTTTATAGACAGACAGCCCTCCATCAATTAACTAAGTCATGTCCCATCATCCCCAAATATCTCATAAATATAAGTGGTAAGTGACTTTTCTTTGCTCTGAATTTATTTATCTAAATATGCATCTCTTCCTGCCCCTCCCCCCAAAGTGGTAAGATGAACTGGTTGGGCCCACTTTTATTTAGACTTGATTTTCATACATTCTGTATTCAAAGTACCCTGAAATTAAAGCCCTTTTGTGGCAGCAGCATCCTGTAGCCCTCTCTCTTTCAGAGCTCTGAATTCTTCACTCTTCCACTGAAAGGATTAACAGGTGAATGGCTAAGGGGATCTACTTTACAGACACTGCAGTTCATTCCTTTTTCTGTTTCATCATTGAAGCTACCTGTTAAAAACCTCTGTATTGGTCATATATAGACCACATCACTTCAGGACATTCAGACCTAGTGCTAAACAGCTTTGTTTTCTTTTATAGCTACTTGCTGTACCAGTAAGTCACACATACCCCAGTACATAACTTTTATCATAGATCTTCTAAAGAAGCAATAGTCCAGTTTACCAGCACATTCAGAAAGCTTCTATTTATGGCTGTGCTTTGCTATCTCCCTACTACCTTACTTAACATGTATTTTCCTTTTGACGTTTCTAAATTGTCTTCCAATGCCAAGAGTTTTTATCCAATCAGGAGTGTGGTTCACAAGTTTTGCTTAGTGACTTGTGATTAGATTTCAATTCTTATACGAATATTCACTCCGTTTTGAAACTGAATTGGAAGTAGACATTCAGACGTAATCTTCCATGTGGAAGAAATTGATAGATGTTAGGCTGTCTGCAGAACTGAGTAGACGGCATAAACGCACAGGTTATATTTAGTTAGGCTTGGCAGAACTCAATTTTTTTTTTTTTTTTTTTGCAATTTCAATAAGTAATACCAGTTTTAAAATATTTTTTTCCAATTTTGACTATTAGTATTCACAGTTGTGGAAATTATGCTGGGTAGTGTTGGGGTTAGGGTTCAGGCAGTGCTGGTAGCGGAGCTTCTGGGCATGCCCAGCACTGACCGCAGAGCTGCAGGGGGCTCCCTGTACAGCTGAAGGGCCCAAGAGATTGGGGTACAAGGTGCAGAGGAGGCTGTGTCCTGGCCCGGCACAGCAGAAACCCCCTGGCCAGGTCTGCAAGGAGGAGGACGAGCTGTTCAGGTTGCTGCTGAAGGGTTCCTGCCTGGCAACAATGCCACATTCCTTGCTAGAGAGTGGGTGAGCAGGGCCATGACTGCGGAGCTACAGATGGCTCTCTGCGCTGCTGCAGGGCTGATGACTCTCAGTTCTTGCAGCACCAGGTGCACTGGGGAGGCTGCACTCACTCTGACTGTTACCAATGGATATTTTTCGTCCATTTCAGTGTTTCAGCTGAAGTTGACGTTTACAGACATCTACCAATTTACATTGAATCCTGCCAAGCCTATATTTAGTTATCTTCATAACTATAAGAGCTAGACTCATAATTTTTATTGGTTTAGGTATTGATGCACAGGATGAATTCCCCAGAGTAAAGCATCTGTACCTCAAGCTGTTGCAGTCCTGTCCAGCGTGTCTTGCTTTCCTCTTATTAAATATTTTCTATGGGAAGAGTACATTCTATGTAGTGACTCTTAAACAATATATATACTTATCTTGATGGGATTTAGAGAGGTTTGTTCAGTTTTTGGATTGAAGAGAGATTGGATTAATGCAAATCCTTTGAAGACACAGGAATAGGCATCCCACTTTAGGATACAGGATGCCTTGAAAGAGTAGTAATTGGTTACAAAGCCTTATATCTCCAATTTACTGTGGTGAACATGACCTGGGATAATTCTAATGCAATAGCCTTTGTAAAGGTAGTTGGTAGCTTTTAGTTCAATGTCTGGTGGATACATGTACCTAATACAAAAGATACTTACTTGACAGACCACCAAGTTTTACTTATTCCACTGGTTTCTCTATCAGTCATGGGTGAGGGCAGTGTGAGGGAACTTTATAATATTCCTTTCTGTTCACTGCATGTTCTGTGAATAGATGACTTCATTCTCCAGGGATCTTAATCTAGCATCTAGCAACGGCACAAAATTCACTTTACAAGTTTTTTTATTGGCGTTTATTTACAATTGCATTGCTTTATAAAGGATGAAAATCTTCAGGCCTCAGAGCGCAAAACAGCCACTAATTGATACTTTTAGGAAGAAACTTCTCTTATCGGCAGGTTATACCATTATTGGCAGACAGGGTTTCTTGTGACTTCCTAATCAGGAAAGAGATCTTGGAGTCATCGTAGATAGTTCTCTGAAGACCTCCACACAGTGTGCAGCGGCAGTCAAAAAAGCAAACAGGATGTTAGGAATCGTTAAAAAGGGATAGAGAATAAGACAGAGAATATCTTATTGCCCTTATATAAATCCATGGAAAGCTCACATTTTGAATACTGCGTACAGATGTGGTCTCCTCATCTCAAAAAGATATACTGGCACTAGAAAAGGTTCAGAGAAGGGCAACTATAATGATTAGGGGTTTGGAACAGGAACTCTCCATATGAGGAGAGATTAAAGAGGCTAGGACTTTTCAGCTTGGAAAAGAGAAGACTAAGGGGGGATATGATAGAGGTATATAAAATCATGAGTGGTGTGGAGAAAGTGAATAAGGAAAAGTTATTTACTTGTTCCCATAATATAAGAACTAGGGGCCACCAAATGAAATCAATAGGCAGCAGGTTTAAAACAAATAAAAGGAAGTTCTTCACACAGCGCACAGTCAACCTTTGGAACTCCTTGCCTGAGGAGGTTGTGAAGGCTCGGACTATAACAGGGTTTAAAAGAGAACTAGATAAATTCATGGAGGTTAAGTCCATTAATGGCTATTAGTCAGGATGGGTAAGGAATGGTGTCCCTAGCCTCTGTTTGTCAGAGGGTGGAGCTGGATGGCAGGAGAGAGATCACTTGATCATTACCTGTTAGGTTCACTCCCTCTGGGGCACCTGGCATTGGCCACTGTCAGCAGACAGGATACAGGGCTGGATGGACCTTTATGGCCATTCTTATGTTCTTATGAAAACAGATACTTTGCTACTACACAGTCTAGCCACGTGGCTGAGTATCTAGTTTGAGCAATTGAAACATTAGTGTGGCTTGTTGAAAATATATAAAGCTGCTCCATAATCAGAGCAGCATTATGTACAAGATAATTCTATTAGATTCCAAGCATCATACTTTTTTTCTCTTTTACAGTCTGACTGAGACCCTAATCACTTTTTACTGACCTCTTTTAGTTTCTGTTTTTGTTTTTTAGTTACACTTCAGAATGTCTAGATGAAAGGTGCTATATGTATGTGTAAAGCAGTCACCTGAATAAACTATATTTAATGTTTGTGCTGTGGAATGCTATATTTGTAATTCAGAACTAAAAACTTCATTTTTTTGTATATATAAAAATGAAAATGTTCACATAGTATATAGCACACTGTTGCTTGAGAAATATTTTCACAACTGTCTGTATAATAATTAGTTTTTGTAGTATTGTAATTATCCATGTAATTGTAGTAATTGCATGTCCAATACTTCTGTGAATTTGAGAATTTTTTTTTAAAGCTGTGCCATTTTAGTTGGTTTGCTGCAATTTTAGAACTTAATTGCTTTTTTTGGAGACTCTAGAAATCGCTGCTTTTGTTTTTCTTTATTGGAATAGTGAACAGACATACTAAAACACAGCATGTTCTTAGTTAAGTGCACCAAACTGGCTGAATCAGAGTTCTGCAACATTTTTTAAAAATATATTGGAAGGTTCCAGGCATTCAAGTTAAATTAGCATTCACCTCTTTGTTCTAAGGTGGTGTTTTACCCAATTTAGCCCTGTCCTGCATAGAAACATAAAAAATAAATTCAATCTGTCTGTGGAATGGATCTCCAACTACTAGTGAAATAAAACCTTGTAGCAAAATAAGAAGTCATGTTTTAGAAGTGTTCTAAACAATAAAGAGCAATGTTAAAAAAGTCACCTGTAAAGAATTTTATAGTTGGGATGAAGTAAAATATTTTCTGCATATTAATCATTTTTCAATTCTAAACTTTTCCTGCTAATCAGACCTGTTGTAGATCACTGCTGGGGTTTTGGAATGAGATTTACAGAAATATTTTTATTGTGAAGCCTTCTTCACAGTGTATACTTGTACGAGCTCTTGCCTAATATTTTATATGCATACGCTTACGTTGTGACCTGTGACCAGTCCTGTTGAAATCAATGAGACTATTTGCACAAATAAAGATCTGTAGATTTGGGCCCAAGGACAGAATTACTGTAAACAGTGACTTGGAAAATAAGTGTGAGTACAAATTAATCTTGAAACCTGCTTATAGTGCTCACCAGATTTCATGATTGTGCAGCTTACTATTCTGAACAGCCCTGATGGTCATGCTTATACTCTGTTCCAGCAAACCTACATACATCAAAGCAGCTTTGAGGAAAATAAAGGTTCTAGTTTGAGCTATTGTTCTTTTCTAGTTCAGCTCTGTTCTCTTCTTCCCCTGGCAGTAATGGTAACAGCAGTAGCTGGAGCAGTCTTGGTTTAGAAGGAGATATGTATGAGGAGAATTTATCCTTTCCAACATCAGACAGGTTGGTCGAGTCCAAAAATTTAAACAGATAGGTTCCTCATAATTAATGCATGAAATCATCACTTTTGAAGATGAGGGATACAATTAATGTGTTAATCTGATACATTATCAACGTGCTTTTTTCACTTAATCATGACAATGAATTCATACTGAATGGATAAATTCTGCTGTGCTAAAATGCAAATGTCTAATTGCAAAATGAAAAATACCTTTTGTGCATGTTCTGCTTTGCTAGTCTCTAAGTCGTTCATTTGCTTTGTCATGCAAACAAGAGAGCTTGCTTCCTACAGGATTTCTGTTTTGTTTTTTCTTTTGCTTCAGCTTATGAAAACTTTTTAAATTATTTTATAGCGGGGTCTTTAATATGAATAATATAAACTGAAAGAATGCAGTGAACTATTTTGTTTTTTGTAATGAAGCTAAAATAAACTTTCCTGCTTACTCAAAAGTAGCAACATGTTTTTTTCCTTTTTAAAATCCCTTAGAATTTTTTTTCATATTAAGGTAGGATTTCTTTATTAGTTTTTTTTTTTTAAACCTTGGGAACTTGTTAACAAACCCAATTACAACATGAAATGGTGTAAGAAGCAAAGATGCTTTTTCATGGTCATGTTCCTTTTCTCTTTAACACTCATCACTGATTCTTAGGATTGGCTCCATCCATCGTGAATGTATTGGGTATCTGTTAATTCTTTGATATTTTATTTTTAAAATCCAGTGATGGAACAGAAGATAAAGATGAAGACCCCAAGGATGTTGTAGAAGGTAATGATGATTTCAGTACAGGTTGCGATAACTGACTTTTGTAATTTTACATGGGTTAGTTTTAATAATTATTTTGCTTTGGTAGTACACACACAGCAATGTGACAACCCTGTTATACAAGGACTTTTACATAGCACACATCAAGTAAGTGTAAAGGGATATTGTTAATCTAGAACCATTTAGGGTATGTCTACCCTGCATCTCGGAGGGAGCATCCCAGTGTGGCTCCAAAAACTTGCAATAGCGGGGCTTAGCATGCTAAATTAGCTGTGTAGACGTTGCTTTGGTGTTGCTACTCAGGCTGGATCTTGGTGGGCTTGAGAGCCTGAATGACAGCCTGAGTTGCAACATCAAACCATGTCTACACAGCTATTTTTAGCATGCTAGCAAAGCCCTGCTAGTGTGAGTTTGTGGACCCGGACTGTGAGGCTCCCTTCCGGATGCAGTGTAGATATACCTATAAACATTTTCTAATGCCCTTTAAACTGTGGTATATGGAAAATATAGGTTACAGTGCTGTTCAGATAATATGTACCTTTATTCACATAAGCCATTGAACTCTGTGTCTATCTCATTGGAAGTGTAAATTCATGTGTGTCATCATTCTGTGGAAGATATTAAATACAGGTGATTTTAACTTTTCCACAAGGACTGTATTGAGTGCACATTGGCCCAGATTCTCTGCTGTGCTGTTTCCTTTTACTGAAGCACAGAATAGGATCTGTCAGGGAACTTGTTACAGCTCATTAATTCTGAGGGTAACTCTGCACTGGCTCCAGTGTAGATGTGAGCTGCCAAAGGATTTTACACCAGCAGAGGATAGCTAGAATACACTGTGCTCTGGGCATGCTCCTTCTCTGTCCCTGAGAAGGGCTACTAGGATGATCAGAAGCATGGAAAACATACTTTTGAGAGGAGACTTGTGGAGCTTGGCTTGTTTAGCCTAACCAAACGAAGGCTGAGGGGAGATATGACTGCTGTACACATACATACATCAGAGAGATAAATACGAGAGAGGGAGAGGCATTATTTAAGTTAAGCGCCAATGGATATAAACTGCCATCAACAAGTTTAGGCTTGAAATTAGACAAAGGGTTCTAATCATCAGAGGAGTGAAGTTCGGAAACAGCCTTCCAAGGGGAGCAGTAGGACCAAAAAACGCAAGTTTCAAAATTGAGCTTGATAAGTTTATGGAGGGGGTGTTATGATGAGCTTGCCTACAGTGGCATGTGGTCCATCTGTGACTGCTAGTAGCAAATATCCGCAACGGCCAGAGACAGGACACTGAATGGGGAGGGCTCTGAGTTACTACATATAATTCTTTCCCAGGTGTCTGGCTGGTCCGTCTTGCCGACGTGCTCAGGGTCCAGCTGATGACCATGTCGGGGTTTGAAAGAATTTTGGGTCAGATTGGCAGAAACCCTGCCTTCCTCTGCAGCCTGGGGCACGGATCTTTTGCCGATTTAAGCTAGAGTAAATGGTGGATTCTCTGTAACATAAAGTCTTTAAATCATTTTGAGAACTTCAGTAACTCAACCAGAGGATATGGGTCTGTTACAGCAGTAGGTGGGTAAGATTCTGTGATGTGCAGGAGATTAGACTAGATGATCATGTCAGTCTCTTCTGGCCTTAAAATCTATAGGTCTGTGAGCCCGGGGCCAGATGAAGGGAGGGCTTGTGTTCGAGCTGGTTATGACATCTCTGTGCCAGCTGACACTCCCATATATTGGGAAGATGTTTTAGATGGGACCACACGAGTTTGCTGACTGACAAGGCCTCTGAAGTGTGAAAGAATAAACCTCTAGTTAACTCTTTCCACTAGGGAGTGAATTTTGCTGCACAACTTCAGTGACTTGATGTGGGGAAACATACTTTCTGATGTGGAATACAACCACGGTCTTTTGAAAAAATAAATTAGTAGATGTTAAGGAAAAGTAAAGAAAGTTTGGCTTGCCATTAAGCATCTGCAAGAATCTGAGGGAGATGATTGACTAAATTAATCCTGCTTCTCCTGTCTTTATCTACACAATTATCTTTTTAATAGCTAATACCTTTTGTGTAATGTAATTGTATTCTGCTCTGTAGGTATACTACAGTGCCTTCAATATTAAATTGTTAGCTTTCCTTGTGTTTCCTACTTGATTGAAAGAGCCTTAAATTGTAGCATCCACCAAGTGGCTTATAAGTAAAACCGTTCTTGATTTTTAACTTTTTACACAATTCCAAAATGTTTTCTAGAGTTTAATATATTACTCTTTTATTATGGAATTTTGTGGTCCATTTTTTTAGTGCAGCTATTTCCATTTTATCGAGTTATCCACTCATCATTCAATGGAGAGAATTGTTGTTTCTTATCATTTTATTGCTTGCTTTCTGGTATCACCCAAAGACCACAATCAGGATTGTGACCCTTTGTGCATGCTGAGCAAACACACAGGTAGGATAACCCCTGCCCTGAAGAACATTAGAGTATGTCACAGTATGGACCGAAAAATACATACTCTGCATTCATTTGGTAGCTAAGTATGAAACAAATATAATGCAAATTGCATTCAGTTTTCCTAATGTCTGTTCCATCTGTCAGAATTTCTTGTTAATTTATCTGTTTAGCTAAATCAGTTCTAATTGTTCTGTTGTGTGGTTAGACTTTATTATGCTATCAGAGAATGACCACTTGTGAAGAGATCATGATTATCTTGTGAAGAGATCACGATTACACTTTATCTGTCTGGGGATTCGGCCTGCTTTGAGCAGGGGGTTGGACTAGATGACGACCTGAGGTCCCTTCCAACCCTGATATTCTATGATTCTATGTCAGTCACTAGTTCTGTCTTCTCTAAACTAAGAGATGGGTGAGGTAATATCTTTTGTTGGACCAACTTCTGTGGATGAAAGAGAGAAGCTTTCAAGCTTATGCAGAGCTCTTCTTCTGGTCAGAACTCTGTGTTAGCTCGAAAGCTTGTCTTTCTCACCAACAGAAGTTGGTTCAATAAAAAAATATCACCTCACCCACTTTCCAATGTGCTGGGGAGTGCTTGACCCCAGACCCCACCCCCACTCCTGTCCTTCCTCCCCCAAGGTCCCCACCTCATCTCTTCCCACCCCTGCTCCACCCCCACCCACTTCTTCCCACCCCACCTCTTCCTCGCTCACCCCTCCCCCCCGAGCCTCCTGCAGGCCGCGAAACAGCTGATTGCAGCGGGTGGAAGGCATGGGGAGGGAGGGGGAGGCGCTGATCGGCGGGGCTTGCTGGTGGGCAGGAGGCGCTGAGAGGAGGGGGAAGTTCCAATAGGGGGGCTGCCAGTGGGTGCTCAGCACCCACCATATTTCCCCATGGCTGCTCCAGCTCCGGAACACCCACGGAGTCGGCACCTATGACCTCACCCACTTTGTCTCTTTAATATCCTATGACCAGCACAGCCACAACAACACTGCAAACATTCTCTAAGCTAATTTTATTTGAGGTACCTTTCCAGCTATAGGATTTCTGGGTGAAGGTCTTCAATTTCCTCAGTGAATAATTAGCATATGAAACCGAAAAGCATGTAATCACTAGGCAAGTCCATCATATGTAGACATGTTACCACATCATTTTCAATCCATTTAAGTATCAGGGATTTTCTGAAATTAGCATTTTCCTTCTATGACATGTCAAGCTTCCAGGCATATAGCCAAATCATTTCCCCATTGCCTGCCAAATGTGTACCTACTATTAACTCTTGGTTCCCCCATTGTCAGTTACATTCCTTTCTTTTTATTTTTTCCTCCCAGAGGGCGGGCAGTCCTCTTCATTACAGGATCTCTCTTCCTCCTTGCTGAGCTTTGCCACATTGGTGTGAATTTCAATTAAATTGTGTGCTACAATAGAATTATATAAATTATTCCATGAAAGCCTATAGAAGCTAAACTGATGTAAACTGTGTACTTTAATACAGGCATTTAATACAAATAGTCGTATATCTGGTAAGAAAGAATGTAAGCCATACTTAGAGGAAGGGGGACTGTATTTTGGAAAGCAGTGACTCCAAAAAGGGCGCAATGGTCATCACAGATAACCAACTAAATATGAGCTGCCTTTGTGATGCTGTGGCAGAAAGGGCTAACATGATGCTTAGTTGTATTAATAGTGGAACATCAAGCAGGAGTAGGGAGGTGGCTATTGCCTCTCTGTCTAGCCTTGGTGAGATGACTTCTGGAATAGTGCGCCTAATTCTGGTACCTATACTTTAAAAAGGATCTTGAAAAGTTGGAGATGACTCAGAAAAGAGTAGAAAGTATGGTTTGAGTTCTGAAAAAATGTCTCACAGTGAAATGTTAAAGGAGCTCAGTCAACTTAGTGTTTTGTATAGAAGGTTAAGAGGCAGTTTGATCAGTGTGTAATTTGTACAGAGAGAAGTTATATTATACTAAAGGGCTATTTAATCTAGCAGTTGAGAGTTTAACAACAGCCAGTGTTTGAAAGTTGAAGTTAGCAAATTTCAGACTGGAAGTAAAATGCAGATTTTTAACTATGAGGGCAATTAATCATTCAAACATATTATCAGGGGATATGGTAAATTTTCCATCATTTGGACTCTTTAAATCAAGATTAGATTTCTTTCTGCCTTCAGGTTTGCTTTAGTTCAGCCACAGGTTGTGGAGCTAGTGATGCTTTCCCTTCCCCATCCCAACCTATACAGGAGAATAGGACGCTTTCAGACCAGTGTGTTTTCTAATCTCTGCTACTTGATCAAAATATGTTTGTTAAAATGAGAGTTAAAAATGAGGTATTTAATATATACATTCTCATTAAATACCTAGTTCACCTGTCTCAAAAGAGTCTGCGGTTGACTTGCAGATTTGATTGTTTGCGTTTTATTTTTAATATTAGGTGTGGGGCAGGTAGGAAAGGCATTGCTAATAGTGAATGTTGACATGGAACCACATATGGTGGACCCCCAGCTGAGAACGACCCTGCAGTGGCTGGCGGCTTCTGAAACAGAGGTGTCTGAGCTTCGTTTTCATGACACTGCTACGAAGGAATTCATTCTCGTGAGTACTGCGGTGTTGCCATGTGATTGCAAAGTGTGATTAGATTTTTTTATAATATTTATTATCTGTTCCTGCTGCATTTGCCAATGAAGTATGAGGTATTCAGAGAAATTACTTAATTATTTTAATCCTTAGAGAGAATGAGAGCCTGTTTGTCTCTGAATATAGCATATACAGAATTCTATCAAGTGCTCAGTTAACCATATATTTTAATGACTTATTTCATTTAAATTTAATCGAAAGCAGATAAAATATAAAAGCTTCCCTTTAACTGAATGGACTGCATTTTCAAACATTATTTTTGCAGCATTTGTTTCAGTTAGCAAAAAATTGACCCTTGCCATTGCCAAGACCTTATCCATACAAGTGAACTTAAATTGCAATTATTTGGTTTATAGCTTTGTGCAATCCCCAGTAGAGCACACCATACTCTCCTGGGACCACACTTTGCTTCCCAATTGTGTAATCATTAATCTCTTCAGCAGAGCTCCAAACCCTTAAAGGGATAGGGCAATCGATTTAAGTGACAGGGCTCAGGTAAATATAATCCTGGCATGCCATTATGAGTGCTACACTGGGAGGTAGTGGTCACATAATCCAGAAAGCATCAGAATATGAACTGACTACTGAAACCAGATATTGTATATTGATTGAGCTTTCCCAGTACCTTATTTTGAAGTGGGTTGAAATATTTGAATTAACACAGGTAAAAAATTAGAATACTGTAGTAACATGTTGGATGAAATCAAATGGGATAACAATGGGGAGTCAGAGGATATACTGGGGAAATAGAGTGCCTCTCACAGATTTGTAACCTTTTCATGCACCATGTGAGATTTATGCTTGAACTTAACTAACAAACGACGACCAGGTCAGTCTGACCCAATAACATTTATCATCTTCCTATGGTTTGAAACAAGGTAGCATCAGTGTCATTTCTGGATAACTCAGAAAACTGTCATCAGAGGATTGAAGGTTTGGAGGATGAAAGATTTTCTAAAGTGATTCTTAAAATTTCATTTGTTCTTATTCATTTGGGCTTCATTCCTGATATAGTTTCAGTGTGGACAGTTTATCCAGAGCCCCACTTCAGAATCAGGGCATTATTCTTAATTTCGAGGTTTCCTTTAAAAAAACAAACAAAACAAAACAAACCCTTGATTCCTATGTACAGTTTCTTCATCTGTAAAATGGGAAAATGCTGCTTATCTGGCTTCTCAAGCATTTTATGTAGTACTGCATAAACGCTAGTTGTTGTTGTTTATTATTTATTAACATTATTTCATAGAATCATAGAATCATAGAATATCAGGGTTGGAAGGGACCTCAGGAGGTCATCTAGTCCAACCCCCTGCTCAAAGCAGGACCTAATCCCCAACTAAATCATTTCTTCCAGATACGATGATTACTTTCCATAAAAACGTTTTAACATTCCCAACAAACAATCAGATATATCAACCAGTAAACACCAAGCATATTGGTCCTAATTCTAGGACCTAGAGTAACTCCTTTGATTTCAGTTCTTTCAGTGAATTAAAAACACCAAACTTCCGAACTCTGTGCATTTCACTTCTTTATTTTGTATTTATTCTGTTTGCTGCTTTTGTGCCTATGAACAGGGCCCCATTGTGCTAGGCTCTGTACAGTAGTGGTAGAGTAGTAGTATGCAGTGTAGAAGACAGTTCCTGCCCTGAAGATGATATAATATAAATAAGATTTAAAAGTAAGCAACAGTGTTTTAACCCCACAAGGTCTTTTTATAAAGAATATGATGTAATTGTTTAAATACAGTATTTCGGGGGTGTTGTGGGCATACAAGCTGATTTTTCAAAAATGGGTGCCTAAAATTTCATGCCTCGAAATCCTTATTTAGATACTTCAAGTTACCTACCATTCAGAAGTACACAGCACCGCCCCAACTGGCCATAACTTGAATCCTAATATATAAATAGAAGTACTTCTGAAATAGCTGTCAGGTGAGATGCCACTAAATTGAAATTGACAATCCTTGACACCAAGAGAACAGAGCAACTCCTACTAAAAGATCTCATAAAATCTGAACATATGACCTATATCCTTCCCCTTTTGGGCTTACTGTCTTGGGGCTTGTCACAGTGAATTTTATACACATCTAGATCAGGCCCTTAACTATTTTAAAAAAGGGAAAAAATAATCCATTTTTTTATTTAATAATCAAATTTGTTTTTTTAATCAAATGATAACTCACTTAATGAAAACAACTCTCATCTCCGTATCATGCACACTTAATAAAGCTACCATATCCCTTTTCTGTAAAACCAACAAAGAAACCATTATTCTTAACACTTGCTACCACTCATCAAATGCAGTAACAGGAAGCTCAAGAGAGTTCTGGAAAATGCACAATTTAAAAGGAAAAAAAAACAGTGAGCAATATAAATAGCTTTAATAAAGATGACAGTCATTTATAGAGGGAAAAATAATTAAACTGCTGACTCAAAGGAACAAAACTGGACCTAACTATTATAGGCGTCCTGGTCTCCATCCACCCATTTAAAAATACCTCATTTCTACTTGAGTAAACTGAAATATATAGCGGTACTGATGACAGTAGGAAATAGACCAGTCTGATGAAGAAAGTATGGGCTTGACCTTTGAACCCTGAATTGAAACAATAAGATTTAGAAGAGCCAGATGCCGTCTTTGCATCTTTGTTTTATTATATTTTTACTTTCCCAGTATATGAATTACAAAAACTGATAAAGTGTTTACAATATATTTACTTAGCCACTAGAAAATAATCCTGTTTAAGAACATCAGCCAAATTTATGTTTGGATTATGACAATTGAGCAGCCTCACTTCTGGAATCTTCATGAAATAGTCTCCAAAGTGGGGTGCGCAAGAGGATCCTTGGGGGTGCACAGCAGGAGGTGCGCTTTTTTTTTTTTTTTTGCTTTGGCAAAAATGGTAGAGCTGGCGCGGCAAGGGGTGCGTACTCAAAAAACTTTTACTGAAAAAAAGTGAAAAGTCAAAAAATGTGTTACGACTTTTTTGAAATTTTTTCCTTTTTTTTTGGTTGGCCATAACTGTTTTCCAAATTCGACATAATTTGCTAATAGTTTCTGTGCCTCAAAAAATTAAATTTAGTATTTGCCATTTTTTTAATATTTGCCGAGGTCTACTCTACTCATTTAGACAAGAGTGGTAGATGTGCTATAAATCTATTTCTTTTGTATTTTAACTTCCTCTTGATGTGGAATATTTGTTAGAGAGGGGATTCAAGCTGGACTAACAGCCTTCAGTTACTGAAGACAAGCATGGATGAGCTAAATGTAAAGAAAAACAGTGGGTGCAATGGTGGAAGAAACCAGAATAAAAGGTTGTAAAACTTGAGGCTTGCAAAACATGTTAATTTGTCACTGTCTCACAGTGCTTAGTATATATCTAATATATGAGGATTCCTGGTTCAGACCTCTGAGGGAAAAGTAATTTCCAACTACACTGGCTCTGCTTGTAAGTGGAAGTTCAACTTATACTTTTTGTTTGTTTTCTTTGGAGACATTGAAATTTCCTAACTGGAGACTGTGTTTCCGTTGAGGGCAGAGTGTATATATACAACCAAACCACACTATATGTTGTGAAAGGAAAATCCACATCCTTATATTAATCCTTACTTTTGTCTTTTACAGTATTACATGTGTACTATTGGGGGTGGTAGCAAATGTATTAATCTTAAGTTCAGAATTTCCTGTTTTCTGCAACCCCCATCAACCACAGACCACATTGCTGTGGGACCATATCACTTGAAAATGTCACTTCCTTGGGAAGAAATTTTTATGGAAACTAACTTAAAAAAATGTTTGGTCCTTGAGGAAGTTTTGTTTTTATAGCTGTGGAATAATGTTTAACTCTTCACAGCTGGTTTTCTAATAAGACCTGATGTTTCAAGGAGAATTTTCATAACTGTCAATCATTCAAGCTATTTATTTCACTAGCTTAAATATTTTTGTTGTTGTTTCTCTAGCTTTCAAAAAGACTGAGAGAGAGAGACTGGAAAGTGGGAGATCTCTTGCAAGCAGTGCTGAAATACTGTGAAATGATGGAGAAGATGTCTGATGGGGATAGACTTCTGAATAAACCTTTATTTGGCTGGCTTCTGGAAAATGTCTGAAAAATCCAAAGACCCAATATTCTTCCCTTCATTTCTCCTTTAGAAGGAGACATGAAGGACAAAGATGTATAGCGTTAAAATTTAACTGACAAATGGTCTATTAACTGTCAGCATTTTAAGAGACTTTGGGGTGAAAGTAAATATAGCTGTTCTGTAAGTATTTTGTGACACTGTGTACGGTATGTTTATCCAGTGCATATCTTCATAATTGATATCAGGGTATTGTGTCCATCCACGCATATTTGTATATACTGCTGTGTTCAGACTATAGAATGTGTATGAAGAAAGATCTTGTCCATGGACAATAGTTGACAGGTGATAAAACAGGATATACAGGGATTCCCACTGTATTGGTATAGTTGTTTATAATTGGAGGCATACTATATTAATAGCATTATTAAGTTTGAATTGCTAAAGAAACATGTTTCAATTTTACATGCTACCATTTTTATTGCAAATTCTATGTTTTGAAGCATTTTGATATGTTGGTATGACATATTAATGCATTAGAAATAGTAAGTACTTGTTGGAGATTTTCCTCTTGGAATTTTGCCGTCTTTTCAGAAAAACAGTTCCTTATCCCTAATCCTCCACATATAAATGATTTTTGTGTCACAAATTGATCTTCTGAATAAGGACCACTTTAAAATAGTAAATTTTCTTAAAATATAAAAAGAGAAAAGTTTTGTAAATTGGTTGTCATTTTTCTTCAATACCTTTTGCTAAAATTCTTGTTTTAAAGGAAGCCATTCAATCAAGTCTTTTAACAAATGGAACTGTGAGGTTGGTTACTAATGCTGTCTAGTTGTCCTATGGTTGAAGGGTTTGTCTGTGTCTTTACATGCCTATTGGTTTGTAAGTGCTAATAGTTAATCATCTTGTTTTGTTTTACAGACCCTTTAGGAGATAAAGTGCTCCCTGACGAATACCAGGATGCTATCTCAAAAGTGATGTCACTGCAAGAGAATCATGGGGCCTTATCTATTTTGGGTGGCTGTAGGAATTTAAACAGCCAGCTGACTTTAAAGGACTGTAGCTGTTTAAATCACCAAATTTAGAACCAGATCCTAGGAAGTTGAGAACTTACAATGGAAATTGCATATGCTCAGCAACTCTCACAATTTCATCTTTGGTTACAGATAAAGGTCCATGCATATAGCTGGTGAGCCCACCAGCACTTTCCTTGCAGTGCCATTGTGCTTTGAAAAAGTATGTGAGTGCTCATCTTTTAGCCATTACAGTAATCTATAAAAAGACCACCCCCTGCCAACATTGGAATGTGGTTAAGATAAAGGTCCTTCTTCAAACCAAACTGAAAGATGACTTAACTTTTAAGGGGAGTCCTCTTTTTTGTGTGTGTGTGTGAGAGTGAGTGTGTATGTATGTATGTATTTGTATAATATATATAAAAAAATTAATGTATACAACCTAGACCACTGACACCAGTTTAAATTTCCAGTTTCTTATGTCTGCTCAGGTACTGTTACCTGAGTTTAATTTCATGTTGCTGTATCATCTCATTAATTGAAAAAACAATTGGTGCCTCATGGCAAAATTTAAAAAAAACCTATTTAGAGATAATTTTGTTTCATATGGGCAATTTGGTCTAGTTGATTTAAGTATAGCACAAGGAGACAGTTCTAATCCTAGTTTTGCTTCTGATTTGCTGTGTGCCCTTGCCCAAATTACTTAACTTCTTTGTCTTAAGTCCCCCAGTGTGTATAATGCAAATAATGACAATTGTTTTTTACAGTGCTTTGAAAATATGAAGAATTAAGGTTTGTTGTTTTGTCATCCTCCCCAAGCCCCATCCCCCTCCCTCCCCAAAAAAGATATTTTTCAGGGGCTTATGTTTTCCTGGTATGTGTGCATGTGCATGGTTGGTTGATTGTCTTTTTTGTTTTCTTTTTGTTTTTTTTTGAGAACGTTGGCTCTTTCTGCTTAGTCCTCATTTGAAACCAAGCTCCGTTTGTGACCTCTCCCGTTTGCCAGAGCAATCAATAGAATTATCACAAATAGAAAATTGACTTTAAGTGATAAGCAACACGAGCCAAATGAATCTTAAAAACAATTCCACTGTGCCAAATTCTGCTCTGATTTACGCTCTTTGCAATCCCATTAGTGATCTTTCAAGGGTTGAAGGACAGCACAGAATATTGGTCCAAGGTTTCCAAGTCCCCATTAGTGTCCCAAATTAAAACAGGGATGAGAAATACAAAAAATAATGTAAATACACAACTGTCTGTAAAAAGAACAGTTTTCCAAAAATTTCCATGCAGCATCAACAGATTAACAAATTTGTAGAATATGATGGATTTCTAAAAAGTCGGTTAACAGATTATCACTTTTTTATGAGGTTGGTTTTCTACAAAAGGTAGACAGATGAGCAGGTTCTTTGACATGTATGAAGGTTTAAACAGTAGTTAAGCAGGAAATAGTTCATTTACATTAAAACGATAGTATAACTTTTAAAAAGTGATTCTTGCTTAGAGACTTTGGCCCCAAATATATCCACGGTTTAACTGCATTGACTTAAGTGGTACATCAGGAATGAATTTGACCCATTAGCTTTTTCTCTAAGTAACAATTAGCACAGATTTCAAATATATGTGTATAGGTTTTTGATGGAAAATACTTAATTTTTACTTTAAAGTAGATAATATTTTTACAAATCTTCTTTAAATTTATGTTAAGGCATTGTCATCTGGCTTCAGGACTCTTTCAATTACCAGTTGAATATTAAAAATAGGAGACAAGTTTACTGATAATTTAACTTTCATGCAATTGTCATTAAATAAACAAAACTATAACATTTCGTGGGAATCCTTATCCTGAACAAATCTGATTGTCATAATCTGTCCTGTTAATGAGGAAAATTGTCTTCTATTCTAAAGTGAATCAAAGGTTATTCCATAAACTAGTTTATTTAAACCATTCCCTTCAGCGTACAAGTGTAATGAAATGAAAATTCACCGTGAACGAGACAGTGGGCCAAATGATGATCTCTCAAACCAGACCAAATCTGAAGTATCTCCAGGATTTAGACCAGTTTAATAGAGCAGAATTTATCCCATTATGTGTATTGTGTGTATGTATTGGCATACTAAAATTAGGGAAACTTGTTTTGGTTATTCTTTAATTTTAGATTGATAGAAATATATGCAATAGCTACACTGTTCCAGAATACCATTTAGTAACCAAATTATAAATATATCTTTGGTATTTTGAAAATTGGTAATGTTTTGATATATTTTATAAGATTCTGTAGTTAAAGCACGTTAAGAAGGGTCCCTCTATAAAATAGCAGTGAAAATGACAATGTTAAAACAAATATATTTTCTCTTCCAATTTGTAAAACAAGATGCAAACAAAAGCCTTAATATTAGGATTTTTTTAAAGCATTTCTAACAAGCCCATATGGTAAAATGCCATTAGCAAGATCTAGTGTTTCGCTTTCAAAATGAGAACACGAAATAACTCAAGCCTAGGCACTTATTTAAAAGTGATATAAATAGTACATCTATCCTTGGTGCTCTTTGAGCGAAAAAATCACCATTCCGGAACTTATGATGTCTCTCAAAGATGTATCAGATTTTGAATGTTACATTTTTCTAATGTAACTGTATCTATGGGACCTCTTCTATAAAGAGATGCTCAGACTTGGGAAGGTGGGAACGCAGTAAGTAGTAAACATTGTCACCAGCACAAGAGGAGCTAGTATTTGCATTAGCTACTTACAAAGAATTATATGAAGGAATAAAATATTGGTTTCAGAAATTTGTGGTGTTTTTGGTTTAGTTTAACAATTTCAGATTTTCAGCAAGAGCCACTACTGTCAAACTTATACTGTACTTGAGCTTTGAAGAGGTAGGTACAGTGTCTGACCACTGTAGTCACTTTATTTTGTACCATCTTTGTACATTCCTGTTGTATAGCTGGAATTGTAGTTCTAGAGGGTCATTGTTCTTTGTAATGTCTGAATAGTATTTAATACCAAACTATATTGTTGTTAGCTGTAACTGCTGCTTATTTGGTTACTTGTGCATTCTTATGATAATTCACAGCCCAGTTTAGTGACTCAATTGTATACCAGAAGCAGAGTGAATAACTTTAAATGTTTATGTAACTATACTAAATGAATACAATATGAAGGTCTTGTACTGTAAAAAAGTGACATCTTTTGCCATTTTAGTAATTTGATAATGTATTCAGTTACCAGATTATGAACTTCAGGTTGCACTAAATTTGTCCTTGTTTTTAGCAGTGGCTTCAAATAAAATAAACACATCTTGTGTGCTTTCAAGAGAACTGTCATTTATTGTAAACTCTTAGAATTTTCTTTTTTTCTTTTCAGCTCTCACAAACTAAGTAGGATTGGTCCTGGTTATGTGAAAGAACTCAAAGGCTGAGACAGTAAATAGCACTAGTGCTAGAGTAGATGGTCTTCTAACTGAGTTAGCACTAAATCGGTGTCCCAGCAGGATGTTAAAAAACATGGTAGTGCTCTCCTTGGCATGAGAGGTGAAAACCAAGGTTCTGACCACTTGTAGTAAAGATCTCTTGGTCCTTTTTATGAAAGTTAGCGAAGTTAATGCTGGTTTTCTTGCCAAATTCCAAGTTGAGAATTGCATCCTGCCCACCTAAGTCTCCCCTACACTTGTCAGTTCAATACAGTGTTCTTCACTTCCTGTTCTAAACAGTAGTGTAGTGTTGTGTGCTTAGCAGCTCCCTAAAGTGTTGACCATTCAGTGCTGGGTGAAGTGATTCCTGCATAGATTGTGCAGTGTTTGAGGAATCCTTAAGCATGAAAGACTGCTATGGAGTCTTCAGGATTAATGCAAGAAGATATGTGGTAATGAAAGTATATGCATATGTATATTGATTAAAAATACTTAACTGATCTGGTGTTCTATGAACTAATTTTGGTTTGCTTAACTTGTCAGATAAGGAATTGCTTTATTGTAAACTACATCAAAGTGACTAGACTGTGCTAAGTTCAAAGACACAATGTGGAGAATGAGTCAAATACTCAAGGAAGAAGTAAATTACATTAACATGTTTG